TCCACTCGTGGACTTAAGGCATGAGGTTTTTTTTTGTTTTAGTCATAATGCTGTGTATTATTTTGTTTTGAACTCATTTGAGAAGACTTGTTAATAAGCATAGACTGCATAAATCTTTGCACACAGACTTTACTGATCATTGGCTTTCAGGGAAGGAAACTAAGTGTAAAACCAGAATATTCTGTCCCAGCAGAACACAAAAGTAAATCAAAGAAGAGCATAAAACTGTCTTGTAGGGATGTTGTTGAGTAAAGTACTGTTTGTAAAAAACATGGGAAAGTCTATAAACCTAGAAGCCTACAGAAAACTGCTATTGCTATTAAAGAGCAAAGAAGATTGGTTTTGTTCCTTGTGGTTTGTTTTCCACTTTGTTTTACCTTGCTCCCAAAAGTTTTGCCCTGCTTGGCCTTTTTAAAAAATCATGCCCCTGCCTTCCTGTTTTTATTAGACAACAGGGCATTGTTAGGCAACCCTGGCAAGATTTCTGGAGATACGAATCTACGCTCAAGACTGTAGCTTAAGTTGCTGCCAAATGCGTAACTGAAAATCAAGATGTAATTTAAGACTCTTCAACTGAAGGTTACTGATGATTCAAATATAAGAAAAAAAAATGACAATCCAAGAACTGCCAAATCTTTTCTTGCAGAAAAAGCCTGCTTTTTTTGGTAAATGTTTTCAGAGGAGAAAAAAACACGTCAAATGCGTGCCTGAAATGTTAAGTTTTAGTAGCATTTACTGTTTATACTTACATTGTAAGAATGTCAGAGCATCTTAGTTACTTGGAGACTTACTCAGGGCCTCTGAAGTGAAAGAGAGGCAAAAATAGGACCTTTGCCACAATAAAATTGATGCCATTTGTCATACGCTGTTTCTGTCTTCAGTTTCAAACTAGGAAGTGAGACGTTGTCATTAGAAGGCTATGAACGTGATTTTTCAAAACAATACCAATTTTGTTTTTTCTTATGATTCAGTAGAGAAAAAGCTAACATTAAGCAAGGAGGAAAAAAGATTTATGAAACTCAAACAAAATTGCATTCTTTTATATTATCAAAGCATGATATTTTACTATGAGGTTAACTGAAAAGAAGCAGATAGAAATTTATAATGCATATGCTGCCATCAGAAAAGCACCAGTCCTACCATGAAAAACAAAACGAAAGAAATAAAAAAAGGGAGTTTAGACAAGTTACTGATTGCAATGTTTGCTAGATCTTCATAGACACTAAGTGGAAAACCAACCAGATATGTAACTTGTATGTGTGTTCTTTTCATCCAGCTCAAGCAACTCTGCAATTGCTTGCCAGCTCCTTTTTCAAACTGTTTGGCAATTCTTTTAGTTTTTCTGCAGTATTAAGAATAGTCCATCATTATAATATAGGAAAATACCTCTTTTTGCCCTTTTTTTGCAATTTTAGGCCCTTCATGCTAATCTATGTTGATTGCTTCTGAGCAGACCGTCTTTCATGCTGGCAGACCAGTCTGGCCTTTTTGCCTCGTTTTTCTTGCAACTACAATACTGCGAATAAAGCAATAGACACTGAACCTAATTATCACTAGACATCTAGTTCTAATCTGTCAGTTTATATCTGTGCAAACTCTAGACCAACGACTAAATGCAAGGTAATTTGTGGTTACTTTTATTTACCTCAACTTAGAAAAAGTAAGGCATAAATGTACAATACTGATTTGTGGATTAAATCAAGGTTTCATTTTCAGTTTGGAGAGCTAGCATTCAGAAATGGCAGCTTTTTGTTGAAAACTTTTTACGTAAAAACTTACCAAATTTGTCCTGGCCCTCCTCAGTGATTTCAAAGGTGAGGTATTTAGTGCAGATGTGTGCTTCTAATTGAAGAAAAAATGAAACAAACAAAATCAGAACACCAGAATGACCACAACAAAAATTTCAAGAAACTGTTGTGGAAATAAAAACCAACGCAGTGCTGCTAATTTCCATCTCCCTCCTCTTCAGAGGGAGCCATTGTCAGCCTGATTTCCAGAGGAAGCAAAGCTTAGAGAGTCATGTGGTCCATGCCATCCATCCGTCAGCCCTTAGTAGTAAACTTTCAGTATAATGGACTAATGGCGGAAAAGCCTTGAAGATTTTAAATTCCTATTAGTTTTGTAAGCATAGGCTGCTCGGTAGCAAGACCTCAATTAACACTCCTGTAGAGACAACAGCCAAACAGGAACACTTCTGTGACTATACATTATATATCCAGGGTCTGAGGCAGGAAAATAGTCATTCACTGACTTGTGCTCTTAAATATAACCCATTTATAAAGACACTTTCATGTATGTGACATGAGGAGTTGTGGCTGCCCCATCCCTGGAAGTGGTCAAGGCCCGGCTGGATGAGGCTTTGAGCAACCTGGTGTAGTGGAAGGTGTCCCTGCCCATGGCAGGGGGGTTGGAACTAGAAGATCTTGAAGGTCCCTTCCAACCCAAAACAGTCTATGATTCTGTGATTCTATGAAGCTGGATCTGGTTTACATTGAAAAAGCGTCATTTTTTCCTCCTTCTCCTCCCATCAGATCATTTTCCACCTTTTCATGCGTTCAATTCAGTATTGGGCTGATATTACATTACTTGATATGATACAGTAGTACTAGAAAAAAATGGTTATAGTAAATGTTAATATGCAGCCACCAGTGGATAACGTTTACAAGAGCGTTCCACTGAAACTCAGATAAGAAACCACAGAACTGGGTCTGAGGTATGTGATATGTCACATACCTGGCCACATACTGGGCCTGGTGAATGCTGAAGCAATGGGTCCAGCTACCATTCCTGGTGAGATGATACAGTCTGCAATACAGAATGAGATCAAAGGACACATGGATGAATGCAGTCTGCCGGGAAGGTGTCAGAGAGGCTCCAGTGAGGTCCAGCGTCACAGACATCTGGAGGACGGGTGGTAAGTATGCTGATAAAGGGAGTCGTGTGGGCATAATAATCCTCTTGCGTTTTCAGAGAGCCTTTGAGAAGCTTTTTGTAAACCTCATTAAACTTTTTAAAGAAACGAAGTTGCCACAAGATTGGATGCGAGGTTTGGTTTTGGGTTGAAAGCTCGCGTAAGAAGAGGAAGTGAAGGACAGAGCTTAGTGGTCACTCTTCAGCAAGGAGGGGTTTCGTGGAGTCGGAGAATAATTTGGGTCGAGGGGACCTCTGAAGGTCATCTAACCCAGCCTCCACTCCAAGTAGGTCTAATGAGCTCAGATTGCTCAAGGATTTTTCCAGTGAAACCTTGAATGCCTCCAAGGATGGCGAGTCTTGGCACAAAATCCTCAGGATACATGCTGGTTTTCCTTGACGCCTCCAGTGACCTCTGGAAAGCAGCCAACAGTAAAGTCTGCTGGGCTGGAGGGACAGTAACCTCTGGCTGGGAGCACCTGTGCCGTCTCTGAAATTGGCTCGAGAATTCACCTGGGTAAACACCAATCCCCTGTGTTTCCAAGCTCCATCAACCCTACGTCATTCTTCTGGCATAGTTGCAGTGGAAAAAATTAGCGGTCCGTAACGCTGTCTCACCATTCAGTCCTCACCTTCCCACACACAGGCTGCTTTTGTTGGTTTGGATGTGGCAGATGGCTACAACAACAGAAAAAGTCTTTTTGTTTGCTGGTGCTTTGTCCGTGCAAGAGATGTCGACCAGCAGCTCTTGCGGCAGCAATCTCTAGCGCGGACGAGCACTGATAACGTCAAGCCTATCACAGGATGAACATCAGCATGAAACGCGTCTTTTCACCAAAACGTATTACTGTTATCCGGAGTCACCTTCTATCTTTGAACAAAAACTTGGAAATTGATGATGGCAGTGATGTCAGTTGTCATCTCCCATGTTTGCCAACAGTGGAATAGTACCTTTGTCAAGAGTACACACTGCTGCAGGCAAAGGTCTGCTCTTTATTCTGTTGATATTTGTATCAAGACCTGTGTTGAATGAGTTCTTGTCTGTGGGATTACGCGTTCGCATAATAGAGGGTGTTTATTTATTGTGAAATGTGCCTGAAATACTTTGTTTTTTCACTTTAGTGGTATTCGATAGACAACATGGTGTTTTAGAATGAAGTTGGTTCTGGGAGATATTGTATTTGTGTTTATTTCATTATAATTAGATAATTATAAAATCGTCTTTGAAATAATATACTTTTGAAAACACAAATCCACAGCTGGCTTGCCTTTTTACTTCTGCGTGTGTACGCTCATACTACATCAGTGTCACACTAACGCTAAAAATTCTGCACGGGCGTTTAAGAAATGATCAGCCTAGTATTGAAAAAATAGTATTTAAGTGAAAAAAATTTTTTTTTTTTTTTTTTTAAAAACAATGCGCTTAAGCTATTTGAGCACAAGG